AGTCTTCGACTATCGCCCCTCTGCCCTGGGGGATTCCAGTCGCGCCAGGCTATGTGCGAACTCAGTTCAGAGCTTCTAGGGGTTTTTGGACCCAGGGCTGGGCACGTGGAACTCAGCCTCTGGCTGCAGCCTGGAAGTGGAGCTCAGTCCAAGGTGGGGGTACAGGACTCAAGTTTGAGAGAAGGCAACGGCCGCCCAGCCCCGCCCGGCAGCAGAAGAGGGGCGGGAAATGTGGAGAGGACTGGAAACGAAAACCATCAGGGCCAGAGCAACAGACAAAGGCGCGCAGGCCTCACTCTCCTCGGGGCCCTCCGCCGCCAGTGCCAGCCTCACGCGCCACCAGGCTGGCGGCTCTCCCGAGCCCCTCTTTGTTGTGTGGGTAATTGTAGCTCGCCTGTGGGGCGGGTAAGGGAGCTGCACAGGGAATTAGGACTTAAGACAAGGCCTCCAGCCCGGGAGCCAGTGGCAACACTAAGGGGTTGGAGAGGGGCCTTACCCCCTAACATCCCCCATCTTCGTTCGTGGAAACAATCAACGTTTCCTTAAGCTTATAGAAAGTGCTATAAAAGCGCAGCAACGAGCCCTCTTAAGGACACTGCCATTCCCCAGGCTCTCTTATGGAGAAATTTTGGAGCCCTTACTGTCTGGGGCTGATAGATGTGGGGGGGGGGGAGGCCCATTTCAATCCAAACTGGAAAAAGAAAAACAATTCTCTCATCCCCGTGCCTCAATACTATAGTGGAAACTCAATCTGAATTAAAGACAGACTCTGGGACGGTTTGAAAAGCCAACTGACCTAGGGGCGGGGAAGCATGAATTTCCTCCCCGCCTCCGCCCTGTATCTGGTGCCCCTTCCCTTCCCCTCTTTTCGGAATTTGTCCCTTGCGGACAGATCTCCCGCCCGGGAGAAAAGAGAGGGGTGCTCTCCCCTCCCGCCCTGGCAAGCCTTCTGGCCTCCTGGTTTCGCCAACCCTCGCCACTCAGGGTGTTGCCGGCTCCTTTTTTTTTTTGGTCTGTCTCTGAGATGTCATTAATTGTCTGAGACGTTCAGGCTCAACCCCAAACCGTTTCCTGCACCTTTCTCGCCTTCGACTGCTCCCTCCCTCGTCAGTGGGTCAAGGCCAATCTGGAGCAATTAGGGACCCCGAGTTTTCTAAGAGCTGCAATTAACGTCGACACGTCCGTGATTACAGGCTTCGAGCGGGCGCGGGGGAAGTGAGGAGGGAGTCAGATCTCGGCTTAACGAAAGCGGGAGACAGAGAAGTCCGTTCCGGCCGAGACCCCCGGCTCCGCGCGCCGCCCCCGACCCTGACCCTGTCCCCCGACGTCGCACCGGGCAAAGAAACCACACGCCGCACGACAGAAACGACGCCCTCGCCGCGCGTCCCGCTCCCGCAGCAAAGCCCTGAACGATCACCGCCGCTCGGGCGCCGCGCGGTGCCCTCTCAGCGCCCCCGGATCGCCCAGCATCCCTGTCAGTCGAACGACCTCTGGCCGGGACCGGATCAGGGCCCCATTTCTTCGCAGCCTCCGTCACCTCTGTCCCCAGCCCTTCCGCCAGCACAGCCCCCTCACGTCCCAGCCCCCTCACCTTCCCCGCCGCTGCTGTGATAGGAAACTGGGGCAGGACCTACTTGTAGGGCGCAGGTTGGCGGTATTGGGGTCCGCTCCGGCGTTGGAGGAGGTAGCGGATGTAGAAGGGGCCGAGGACGCCATCGGCTCGGTCGCCCGGGGGCCCCTGCGCTCCGGGGTCCTCTGCCCGTCAGGCACGGGAATAGGCTGTAAAGAGAAGCGGCAGCTGTGCGGGGAGGGCTTCCGGGGCCCAGCGCGCGGGGGGCGGCGGGGCGGCCAGGGGTGC